CAAGTTTCAGAAAGACTGGACAAAAACGACTTGAGTTATCAAGTACAGATAATGGTCACAAACAATGTTTAACAACAACATTGCCGAATGGATTTTTAAATCATCTTATAAATTCAGATAAAGATGTTAATGGATAAATTAAAACAGCACAGTTTTTGTTGTGCAACGTGCTGTTAGATATTGGTTCAATGCAACATATAAATCATAAAATCATATCATATAACTCATAACAAATTTCCTAGAAGAGAAAATCAAAAAATTAATTGGTTTACAGTATATTCTGAACATCATCTCTGGTGGATGAACTCAGAGCTGCCAATTGACTTCAATTTTTATGATTCAAATCAGAAGCATCGAAAAACAGAAAAATCCTTTTTTTATCATTCACAACGATGTTCTTGTATATGTCGTGACATGGTATTGAGTCTGGATAAGGATGCATGATCAATGCTTGTCTGAGATACGGCTTTGATGATTAAAATATTGTATTTTATGACAAAAATAGCCTCCAGTTGTCCATCAGGGATATGAGATGACAAACTACAGTGTATGTTTTCTGTGCAGTGTACATTACAGTGTTTGTCCTACTAAGCTTGAACTCATATCGGCCTTCAAAGAATGGCCTTGCAAGTATTGAATTTGTCTTGAGTTATTGAGTTTTTGCATGCAGGCAAAATGATAAAACACATTCTATGACGTATGGGAAGTATGTAGCAGCCTTGTTTAGGGTAGTTAGAGCCAAATTCAATGCATTGCAATGCATTATGGGAGAGCAAATCCCCATATGTTCAATAAAAAAACTATTCTCACACTGGAAACTCAATTAATAAATTGTTTTGATATGTTTTAAGAATATATACATATCAGTAAGAATATAATATATAGAATATATGTATATTTTCCATGATTAATTTGCCACTACTTTGCAGTGATCGCTATTTTTTTAGTTGTTGGTTTCCTAATTGCATTAAGCTGAAATTAAAACTTGTTGAATACAAAAACTATCTGTACTCCGAGAACACCAATATATATACTGTTTAATATGTCCATATATGTCAGGAATATAAGGTAAATGTTTATCCAACAACTTGGCCATAACATTATAATTTACAATCTTCTCAAAATCTTTCTGCCGAGTTTGTTTGCTTTATTTCCAAAGAATATGTATTACTTTGTTTTATATGACCATTTTTATCTTCTCCAAGGGATATTAGGAATCATAAAATAACACAAATAAATTGCATAATCTCAGTTAAGTACATTAGCTAATTAATAAGCAGATTGTTTCTAAATTATTAGCCATTCAATTTACACAATTCAAGGGTACTGGTGACACATAACAAGTAAGTTGCTGATCATTCCAAGTGATTGATGTGTTGACATAAAGATTTGTTAAGGGTTTGCCAAACATACAAAGCAGTGCCATCATCAAAAGATGAAAAAGATCAAGACACAGTGGATGTACATGCTGGTGATTCAAAACATCAGGAGAATTCACGATTTCCGAAGCCAGCAGCGTAACTAGTCTGTAATGGGCAGGACTCCACTTACCTAGGTTCTTAATGAAGTGTTGATGGTTTGAAGTGTTGCCCATGAATGATTCAGTTAAAACGAGTCAGTATAAGACCAAGTGCATGCTTGGAGAGAAAAAAATCATGACAACTTACCTTATAAGTGGAACTAGAGTGTCACTAAATTGTCTCTCAAGCAGATGAAATATGGCATTGGCTTCACCAACGACGTCAAAGAAATAAAGCTTGGGAGGAGATTTACAGTCAGGTGGTGGAATACCTAGATGCATAAATATATAATCATGTTTTAATTGGCATAATATCGGAAAAAATTGGAAATGTTAAAATCAAAAGCTGCCTTGCGTACAACAGTGTTTTTCACACATTTGCTTTCATTTAGAGAATTAGACATTTATTAAAGAGTTAGTTAACTAAATATATATAATTATCATATGCATTATGTTTGTATTTCCATTTGTGAGGTGATTTAGGACATCGAAAATGCACAGTTTGACTTCATATATTGCCAAACTTGTTTTCTCATTGTACGCTACCAGAAAGTTTTCCAGGTTTATATACAGTCCGACAACTACAGTTTACAGTAAATGGTTCATGTTGTGATTATTGTCAGAATTATAATTCTGTCACTTAAGAAAATTAGTTGATTTTTTTTAAAGTCATGACAAGTAAATTGAATCAATTAACGCCAACAAGTATAATCTTAATGTATATGTGAAATAGATAGATCGCAGTAACAAAATTAGCATATTAGGTGTGGCAATGATATTTTGTATTCATTTTTGTTTTAACAATAGTTAATATTTTAGGAGTTTTGTCTCATAACAGGAACAATAATATTATTGATGTAATATGTTAAATTGTTTTTAACCTCATTAATGACAAAGGCTTGCATTTTTCAGGGAAAATTAATTTTTCTATTTTATCGAATGATCAGTTAGATGGCGAATAAATTGAAATATCATTTCAGAATTTGCATGTAAATCATCTATGATTGGACAGGGTCAATTAAATTTCATCAAACAGCCATCCCAACTCCACTCCAAGGCAAAATGAACCTAAATGTAATCATAATAGTTACTGAACCTGAAATCCTTATGACGTCTAACTGCACAGATCATATGCCAAACATTAAACACATATTAAGCTTCTGCATTAGGCATTAGGTTTCTGGTCAATTTGTTTTCCCAAGACTAATCCAGACACATTTTGTTTATTTTAAAATTGCCATTAAAATGTAGCTTTTATTTTGATTTTTCATAAAAATAGAACTTTTTTATTCATTT